TTCTCGCTACAAGAAAAACGCAGGCCTAACAGGAGCAAGTGGCAACAGCTGTGAAGATGCGACAGAAACGACCATTTGTATCTACATCCCCAGAATTGTTTGTGATCCATTAATACCTTGCATGAGAAGGAGAACTGGAACCTCCACAAGGATTGACAGCAGATTCCTTCGAAGCTCAAAAAGCTTTGACGATGGTAGCGGCAACTGACACACCTCGTTTCCAATTACAATACAGATATGCCGGAATCGCATCACATGCAGCTATATGACTGACAACTGCGCCAAAAACAGACAGAACAACTAGACGCACTGACGTCACTGCATAAAAAATCCACGACCGTTCAAACAGCATATCTAGCGAACTACGAAACACTGTTGCAGAAGGTGGGTCAGGCTTATCAGAGATACATTGAGAAAAGGGTCTCAAGCGCACATGATAAGGCAATAGCTGCAAGGGCACGGAGGTACAGCATTGCAGCGGTCGACGGGCGACAGCAGCAAAACGGCATACTCCGCAATGCGAAGTCCTCAGGATGAGGCCGCGTATAAAATCGCATGCGCCTCACTTATAAACATTCGCATCTTCGCGTCAACCTTCTTCAGATGAGCAAATGTGCCAGACGACAAAAGATCAAACATGATTCACAGAGTGGCCTAATCGGAATGTGCATTTAACTTGAGACATTTCGAATGTATAATTTTGCTTATAAGTCCCATAAAAACGACATTCAACGAATGTAGATTGAGCCGTCAAAAATCAAATGTGAAGGCGGTGGAGTCATTATCAGCGCTCACATCTTCTTACATAAAGGCGCAACAGTGACAACGCGATTCAAAACATACAAAAGCCAAGAAGTGATGAAGAGGGAAATTTTAAAAAAAAGGAATCCATTTGTCCTTTGATGGCCCTCAGATGAGGTGCGGAAACATGAGCGATAGGCGAAAATGAGAGCGAAGCAATCAGGCGCAGCGTAATGCAAGGCCATCTCGATTCTGGAGTCGCAGGCCCGTTTCGGGCCCCAACCATCTATACACTGACTTTACGTATACGGTCGTTCATGGTATGTGCAAGGCTTCTGTAGGTAAGATGACAAGTTAAAGCTGATGCGCATAAGGGTACATTCGCTTTGAATGTGTGCACTAGCGCGGAATGATAGAGGCTGGGTGTTGGGTTGCCGAGTAAATAATCGCGTTTCGAAGGTGAGGTTGCGAGCGTACCACGAACAAGTCGACCATCACCTAATACGATATGATCGATGTTTAGTTGAATGATCATTGATACGAGCTGACATATGACGCTTACATAGAGCAATAATTTCGTTTAAGAAACAACGACTACGAAGAGTATAATGATAAAGCCCGTTTCCGTGAAACTACGAACAGCAAAAACCAATTGAGCTCGTTACCCCCATCCTTCGGCTCCTCTCCCTGCCTTTTCGAAGGGCAGCTCAAGCGCACTTTCTCAGAAGGACTCGCCACGCATGTGCATATAAGCAGCAACTGGTCTCCATGCCAATCTGAGCGCGGCCGCCTCAGGCACTTGTCGTAATGAATAAAAATATTTCGACGC